CCCCCCCCCCTGCCCCTGCTCTCTTCTTTAATTTAACCGCTCTCTGATTCTGATTTCCGTCGAATCGCGGAGAGGGGTCAAGCCTGCCCTCCTCTTCATACTCTCGGTTCGTGGGAAGGAAGGAAGCTGTGCCTCTTTCTCGTACGTTGCTCTCAAGCTGTGCAAGAGCTGAGGCATTCACAGGGAGAAGAAGTAAAGGGCAGCTGGCGAAGGCCACCTCGGTATTAAGGGGGGTGGGGGGGTGTGGCTTTTTTTTTTCTCCAGAAGGTGCACTGCATGTGTGTCCGGGATTACCAGCCATACTTCCTCTGTCGTCACAGTGACGTGTCTTTTTGTCTTTTGGGGGTTTTGATAGCGCCAGTGAATCTGGGTGACTAGAGGATGTCTTTTGTTCCGTTTGTAGTGTCCATTCCCTCATGCTACAGTTCTTTGATCTTAGCCGGTTTGTTGTTGTTGTAGTTGTGGTTGTTTTTTCCCCCCGAGTTATGGATTTTTATATGTTCGAACGGTACTGTAGTCACTCCCCCACCACAACCCCTTTTCCTTAAAAATATATTTTTGAAAACATCGAAAAGGGTTTGTTGGTCACACTTTTATCAGTGTTCAGCTCGTTATCGTGACAGAATAGACCTCTATTCTATTGTGCGGGTTTAAAGTGTTTCTTCTCTGTTGTCAGTGTGTAATTACACTGATGTTCCTATGTCTAGTTCATTGCGTCCTGCTTCCCGACACACTTACGGGAAATATTTTATTCTCCGAATGTTTTAATTTTTGTTTTGTTTTGCTGTTGCTGGGATTTTTTTCCTCCTCTAGCAACCACTGTCGACCTTTTCTCTAAAGTCAACGTCTCCAGGCTTGTACACGCCGCAGAGCCAGAGCTGCTGTACGTGGCGTCGAAAAACTTCGCTACTAAATTTCCGGGTTCTTTTTAGTTCTTTTAAAAGACATTTTTTTATCGGTCGAATTTGCCACGATTGCACTCGGTTTGGACTGAAGCCAGCAGCGTAACATTTCGCTATCTAGAATATCTAAGAGGGCCATCCTGCCTAAGCCAGGCTCTGCTCTTCAGATCTTTGTGTTATCTTTTTTTTTCCTTACTCGAGCGCCAGTTTTTGTTTCTGCTGGCAATCTTTTTCTCAGAGCTGACTTGCATCTCTACGGACTCCTCTTTAGCATGAACTCAAACTTACTCGCGGGTAGTTGGTGGGTGGTCTTCTGTGGTCTGCTCCTTTTTTGTTCTATTTCGTGTTTTTACCGTCGTATTTGTGGGGAAACTCGTAATGATTTCATGCATGTTGGGTTCTATGGTAGCGCTGGTGTCGCATACATGATGAATCACAGGATGGCACCACTGAGTGGGTGGTCGGTGGATGGTGTGCTCCATCTGTTCTATCAAACACATCGTCTTTATTTCTCCTCCTTTTTAAATTACTTTTTTTGGGGGTATGTTACTCTTTAGCAGCACCTAATCTGTAGAATTTGTATGACGTGTTTGTGTTGCTAGTGCCGTAAAACTCTTACTAAAACTAAAAGCACCACAAATTTAATATCGACCTTTGTACTTCGCCACTC